GACTCGCTCGCTCACGCGCGCAGGGATGTCCCACGCACAATGCGGCGTTACCCTCCGCGCACCCCTCCGCGTTTGTCCGTCCGGTTCGAACGCGGTGGTAATTCAGTCTCGTCGGGCGCGGGTAGTCGCGGGACCCCCCCAAGTTTTTCTTGCAGATTTCCAAAATTTATTCATTTTATTATTTACCAGTGATTGTGTCGGTAAAGCAAGTATATTAAGCGTGTCACATGATGCATATTTGTGAAGAATTTTTGAAAAACAAAGTCATCAATATGTATATAAATTTTCGATGCTCCTGGAAGCAAGAACAGCTATCAAGACGAAGACACGAGATATTAGAAAATTATGAATTTTGAAAAATATAATTCAAGAGGGCGTCTTCTCATATTATAAAATTTGAATGTGTTAGAATATCTACCATTTGGATTTAATATTTTATGTATTTATGAAAAAAATATATATTAGATCTAGAAAATTATGTAATCTCTGCAGATTACATAATACTTTTGAATAATACTTTTGATTACATAATACTTTTGATAATACTTTTGAATCGATAAAAAATTTTTCATGCGATTAAAAAAATATGTATATATATATATATGAAGGAGAAGGTTACTGGTTTTATCAGTTACGTTACTGATCGCGAATGGGTGGGAGGCGCGCGACAACTCGCAACGTGTAACATGGCCGAGGCCTTGTCTCTCCCTCCCTCTTGCCGTCTCTTCGAGACGAGCTTTCAAGGTCGGTTACATTCAACTGCAGAATCACTTGCTAAAACGCCGTCAGATAGCACCACGTTACAGCGCTACGAGACACGTGGTGCGATGGAAGTTACGCAATTGTTGGAGAGAGGGAAACTTGCAGTGATGCCATTTGCTAGGAAATATTCCCTAGATTCTCTAGATTTTAGGAATAAAGTATGTTCGGATTTTTATTTCAAATATCTTTTTTTTTTCTGGAAAGCGTTAAGAAAATTTCGATAATACATATCTCTTTACATCGGCTTAAGAATTTTCCAATAGACTGTCAATCAAAAAATTGTATATCTTATGTAGACAAAAGTGAAACTTTAAGGCATGAAAATATATATGTAAATGGAGTTATCGACGATTGATAAAGAACCAACAGTCGGTAATTATCTTCTTGTAAATTGTTTAAAGTTTTCATTTTGTGAGTATAAATTTCCAAAAATTATATTGTTTTAAAGATGCAGTTAACATTATCAAATTATGCATGTATTCAATATCTATGACGTCAATGAAAATATATTGTTAATATATAATAAAATTTTACACACAACATTCCTGTATTCGACTACATGTAATACATGCAGCTTATTGCTAAATTATAAGATTAAAGATTTTATAGCAAAAATAATTATAGAAATACCACATGCAATAGATAAAGGAATGTGAGTGTATGAAAGAGAGATACAGAAAAGTCAGATATATATTTGGAAAAATATTACAAAAGAAGGAAATGCGCGAGTTAATAAAAAAATTTTTTAATTCTTTAAAAATCGATAACCAATGTTCCAATCAATACTAAGCAGTGAAAAGAATAAGGATATATATTTTAACGTCAAGTTCTATAAATTTGATTATTGATGCTATAAAGAATGTTGGGACATCGAATATGCATTGCACGTAATTATTATATACATACTAAATATAAATTAATTTTTAATGATTATATAATTATAAGTTAATTAGAAAAGCAAGCATTCCAAGATATTAAAGAATGAGACAGCGTTAAATCGGTGGCACTCAAATGCCACGAAAGGTCACAGAAGATACAAGTCAGAAAACTTTTTCGCAGGTTACTTATCAAAGATTATGGGCTTTCAAATAGTCAAATCTTTAGGAAACACGACGTAAGCGATTTGTTAAAGCGATAATGACAATTACATAAAAATATTAGCTAATTAACAGTATACATAATTTTTTAAAATTATATATTAATGAAAGAAATTATCAAATAATTAAGGCATTTTTTTTTAGCACAGTAAACGAATTATATCTTTTATTATTAATTTCTCCGCGTTTAAATATAAAATGTATTAAATATAAATAAATAAAATGTATTAAAAAATTATCATAGATATATTCAATATCTATCACTTGATATATCACTTATCATTAAATTTTTAATAAATAAATTTTGTTTTATAAATCTCAATAATATCCTTTGACTCAAAAAGCATATCTACTAAGAATTTGTTATATAACAATGCATAGAAATAATTTATAACTTTTTAAAGAAACTGAAAAAGAAACTAAAGAAAGAATTTATATTTGTGTTATTTTTTAATTTATATGAATCATTTCATTATTGAATAAATCAAAAATTGAAATTATTTTTGTGAACATAAAATAATTTCAAAAACATAATCTAATATAATACCTCAACAAAGATTGTCGCTTATCGCTTACAATATCTCTCTTTCACGGCAACACCTGAAATCACGTCCACATTTGCGTTTCAAGTAAACATTCCACGGTTTACAGCAATACTATTACGAGTACTGCTAACATATTGAAAAGAATTAGTAAATCTCGTGTAAAAGTCTCGCAAAATCTACTTACTTATTTGTTTCTCTTAACACGCATCATCGAAAGTGCGCTTGCTCGATCGCACGTTGAATTCGTAATGGCATTGCCGAAAGAAAGTGAAGTCCACGGAACCGTGGAATCCATCTCGAACGCAAATGAGACCCGTGACGTCTCAACCAGGAGTCACCGACGACATCGTGTTTGCCAACTATGCCACGCGCCGAACATTCAGGCGTGGTGCTCTCTCTTTCTAATAGCGCAAATCTCCGGCGCTTACCTTTCTTGATGAGCAAGCTAGTGACCCTCCGTAGCGCCTCGCGAGTGCTGGAGGCGGAGCTGTGCTTACTTTGGCCGAAGTATTTGTTGGGCGTGATGTTCGTGGGCAGAGTCAGCGGCTTCCTCTGGTCCCCGGTGCCTGGTAGCCGCGCGTCGTAGGCGTTGTTGAGCCGTTCGAGATGTTCGATCGAGGCCGGCCGCGGCTGATTCGCCTTCCTGGTGGGATACCATCCGCGATTCGGACCTCCCGCCAGTCGGAGAAGCTCAGTGCCGATTATGGCCTGCTCCAAACCAGGATTGTTCCGTCGGTAGCTGAAAGTGACGTAACCAATGCGTGATCAGTAAAACGTTAGGATAACGGGACAACATCTCACACGTTCCAAAAAAGGAGTCTAAATCAATTTTAACAAACATGGATCAAGCATTTTACCTTTATTTTCCAATTGTTTTTTATGTAATCAGAGAACTCTATAAAAAATTCAGAGATATATTCAGCTAATTTACGTGAATCATTGCTCCAATCCATTCGTACAATTTCGATGACGTATGAATGTTTTTTCTGATATTTTTCCGTGTGAAAGGAAGAGGGTTGCTCACCCGGTAGCTGTGATTGGTGCATACCAGCCGGGTTGTCGCCTCGTCTGCGTGGGGTTGCCAGCGTGTTGTGGCGTTTTGGGGATATCGCTGCCTCTGGCGAACACCGGAGTCTCCGGTAGAGAACACGACGTTTGCATACCGGAACCGGTACCGGTAACAACGCTACCGCCGGTACCGCAACCGCCACTGCTACCCCCGGAGGAGCACGCCTCTGCCGATGGCGAATGTCGTTTTGTGAACGGTCGTCGGCGAGATGGTCCTGGTAAATCAGTGGGCAGAGTCCTCCGTTCCACGGGCACCTGGAAAACGAAAGGACGTCTCATTAACGAAGAACATATTTTCTTTCGCGAAATGTGCTGAGGAATATAATAAGTAACAGTAATCTTAATTTATTCGCAGAATAAAGCGCAAAATAAATGTAGAGATACTATCGAGATTATTCAAATTAAATGCGTTTAAATAATCCGTTTACCTGGAAAAAACGGACTATCGGACTTTTTAACGAGAAAATATATTTTCACGAAATATTCTCGTGGAATATAATAACAATGTCTATTAAAAACTTCGGGAAAAGTTTTTTTAATTTTTCAGGTATTTTTATTTAAAATCTATACAAAATATCTATACGAACTAATCTACAAAAAAATGTAAACGAAGAAAAAATTCTAAGTATTCGCAAAATTAAAATAAAACCATCGGTGAAACAATTTCGACTAAAATTTTTGAAGGCTCACTAGAAAGTTCTCTGAAAATTCTTTGACTCTTCCGAACGCAAAAATAATTCCTGACAATTCCTGACAGTTTATTAAGTTTCTAAAGACAATACTTTGAATAATAACATTAAATTAAACCGGAATTTGAGTCGGTTACCTTCAATTTCAACTTTTCATTGTAAATGTAAGATGACATTAATAAAGAGCTTATGTTACCCAGGGAATAGAGTTTTGCGCTTGTATACCGATACCATGGAAATAATTTAGTGGACGCGTGAACAATTAATGCTAGTTACGAGCAAGTTCGAATTACACCAGAGTGTAATCCTACGAGACGCTGCAATAATTTCCAACCGTCGTCCGAAATTGCTAAATGAGCGCAATGGTATTCGCATAAACAATGATTTTTCGACGAAGTTACACGTTACCGTAATATTATAACTGTAGTAACGATTCGGAAAAAAAATAGAGAGAGAGAGAGAGAGAGAGAGAGAGAGAGAGAGAGAGAATAGCACGAGAAAAACGCGACCACGAGGGTCGGCCCTTCATCAAGAACGTAAGAATCCGCGCACGGCTACGACCGGCAAGACAGATAATTATTGCGCCGTAAATCATTGTTATCGCGCCATTCGAGCGCTGCTGGCGCGGCGATGCTAGAAATTCAGTGGGCAAAAGTTCGCCGCTTCGTCTTGCCTCAACTTTTATTGCGAAACTGCCCGTGGCGATAATTAACAACTAGAGGCACGGCGTTTTTTCGTCATGAAAAATTTTCCCTTTTCCCGAAGAACAACACACGACACAACAGGGCCCGTTTCGCATAACGTGACGCATAATATTTCTGTAGATGTCTCTAATATCGCGTTATCACATTAATTCCAATATCGATCGTTAATAGCAAATCAACGATGTTTATGAGAAAAATTAATATATACGCGAGCTACGCGAGAACATTAATTGTTAATCGTGACAATTAGTTTTGGCAATTAAGATTGCAAAAATACAAGGGCTGGCGGATTAGCCTCGTATCCAATTATCTCCTTGTCTGGAGGACGTCTCGTCTCTTTCCCGTTGTTATATTAAAATTACCACGGCTGAGCGGTCGACTTCATTCGCCGGCGCGGTGAAAGCCAAAGGAGAGAACGGCCGAGGAAAAAGGTGACCAATATCCCTAATGAAAACTTTACGCAGTTCGGCCAAAACTCTCCTTCCGCTTGCCCTCCTTACAATTCCTTGCGTCTACTCTTCCCCTTGTTCTTCTCGTATAATCCAGGCAAACTTCTCTCTTTGTCCGCCGAGTAATATGGTTAAAGCAGCGATCCTGGCGCGCGAGTTTTTCAGACGAAGATACCGAGTCACCCCCGACAGCGTATAAATCGTTTCTCTTTACCCTGTAAGGCTTGCCGTCGATATTTGTTAATACCCTGACGTTTGTTAAAATTCATGAATATCGTCTTGTAAAATTGTCATCAATTCAAATAAACAGAGATACCATCTGGATTTTTGAATAAGAGGAATGTATCGCTCCAGGATCAATAATGAGCTATGAGGATAGGCTCTGCTTGACGAGAAAATTAAAAAATTTTTAATTTTAGATTTTAGAATATATGAAAAAGAAAATGTGCAAGAAATAGAATACAATAGAAAATGTGCAAAAAGGTGTAATTTCATTTTGAGAATATCCCGCCGTATGGCGAGATTTTAAAGAATCCTTTTCCGTCGAATATCTTTTCTTTACTTCCTAAGTTTTCCGCGATATTAGACTTCAGAATTAGGGGTGAGATCACCTCGTATATTCGTAGAAAGAGAGTCATTTGCTCACACAAAAATTTCTTAGTACAGTGAGGGAGGGTCCGCTCCAATTGAAGCGGAACCGTCGGCGTGCGAGAAGTGCAAACTTATTCATTCTATTTTATTAATTCTATTAACATAAAATCGCATCGAAAGTCCAGCTTTCCTCATTTTTATTCGCACAACTCGTCGATCCGCCTCGAGTCGAGGCGACTTCTATCGAGCGAAAGGCAATCGGTTTGCGACTGGTTCGCGCAATAAGTAAATGAAATCGAATCATTTATCCGCCGGCCAGAGCAGCGCGTGTTTCATCTCTTTCCAATTAAATAGTCTTAAAACTTTCCCCCTTCCCCGTTCCCATTATTCGGAGCGGGGATAATTGCGAAAGTGCGTCTCGTGCGTCTCCTGGATAAAAATCTAAATATAAAAACAAATAGATTTGATGTATTTCTTTTTGTAAAT